GAATTTTGCATGTTCTCACCATGCCTGCTTTAATTGGCAGCTCTAAATTGCCCGTAGGTGTGAATGTAAGAGTGAATAGTTGTGGCTCAATGTCAACTGGGTTAGACTCGAACCCCCCTTAAAGGATGATCGGTTATAGCTAAAGAATGCTTGGATAATTCATTTATATTTAGGTGTTGTTCACCCATTGTGTACAAACCTCAAATAACAATTGATTATAAGAAATCAAACATCAGTCCAAGATTGCTCTTGTTTGACTTGCTGCAGACATAAGCCACCACCATGAGTACGGACACGGAGATGGCCGTTTATGGCAAAGCTGCCATATACCTCCGTAAGCCAGAGAAGGAGAGAATTGACCCTCAAAACAAACGCTTTGATGCCAAGGCCGCCTGCTACATGGCCGATGCCAAGGAGCTGTACTTCAAGGCAACAATCCTCAAGAAAGATGGTGGCAAAGTCACTGTCAAAGTCCTGGACATGGAGGAGGTTAGTATCACTAAATCAGAGTAAACTGGGATTCAATACGATCAGCCCTCAATGTGACAAATGTCTTGTTCCAGGAGAGGACAGTTAAAGAAGATGACATCTCTCCAATGAACCCTCCGAAGTTTGACAAAATTGAGGACATGGCCATGATGACCCATCTCAATGAAGCCTCTGTGTCGTATAACCTCAAAGAGCGTTATGCAGCATGGATGATCTACGTAAGAAAAGCTGCCTAATAAGAACAGAGAAATATACCTATATACAGCGAAACTAGCTATACTAAGAGTTAACTGCTGGATCACTTTCAGACCTACTCTGGGCTGTTCTGTGCCACTGTGAACCCCTATAAGTGGCTCTCAGTTTACGATCAGGAAGTTGTAAATGCTTATAGAGGCAAGAAGCGTATGGAGGCTCCACCCCACATCTTCTCTGTCTCTGACAACGCTTTTCAGTTCATGCTTACTGGTAAGTTGTTACCATAACAACGTTGAATTAATCAATATATGAGGTTTTTGCTGAGTAAAAAAATGGTTATTCTTTTTCCCCCAATTGAACAGATAGGGAGAACCACTCTGCTTGATCACGTAAATTTCACATTTGTTGACTTTGCTGAACATAATCTGATATAATTCTTACAAGTCTATGTCTATACCTAGTGGAGAATCTGGTGCTGGAAAGACTGTCCACACCAAGCAAGACAAGAAGAGGGACACATCAAAGGTTTGTTACTGTATGATGATTACAATTCAGTGTCCTTTAAGTATGGAATACATACATTCATTTTCTGACATCAATTTTAAACCTGGATTATAGGGATCAGATTATTGCAGCCAATCCTCTGTTGGACGCCATACAGATTTTTTTAAAGTGATTATCTTTTGTGTGGTCACCTTTCTTAAAACAGAATGCTATTGATATCCTGGGCTTCACTAATGAAGAGAAGATGAGCATCTACAAGATGACTGGTGCTGTGCTCCACCATGGTAACAAGAAGTTCAAGCAGAAGCAGCGTGAGGAGCAGGCTGAGCCAGATGGTACAGAGGGTGAATATTTAATGTCAGCTCAAAGTGAATAGCTTGTGAATACCAATGGAAGTTCTTTATCTGGCTGGTTTCTTTTACATCATGATGGAAGGTCACAGTCTAAGACCGCATGTATGAATTACTAAACTTTTTCAGATGCTGACAAGGTTGCTTACTTGCTGGGTCTGAACTCTGCTGACATGCTGAAGGCTCTGTGCTATCCCAGAGTTAAGGTCAGAAATGAGTTTGTCACCAAGGGACAGACATTGGTGTCCTGGATATTGCTGAATTTGAAATCTTTGATGTAAGCTTAATTTCAAACGATTCATCAGCTGATACTTTTCATGACTGAATCATTCTTATTGTCTGAAAGATATTACACTGAATATTTCTCCCCTCACAGTTCAACAGCATGGAGCAGCTGTACATCAACTTCACCAATGAGAAACTGCGACAGTTTTTCAACCACACTATGTTTGTCCTGGAGCAAGAAGAGTACAAGAAGGAGGGTATTATCTGGGAGTTCATTGACTTTGGCATGGACTTGGCTGCCTGCATTGAGCTGATTGAAAAGGTAATCATTTCATTTTGTCATTCTGTTTGATTGTTCTTGTTTTCACTTAATTTATGCCATAATAACATACATCATTCTACTTTTTTCTAGCCCATGGCTATCTTCTCCATCCTTGGAAAGGAGTGCATGTTCCCCAAGGCTACAGACACATCCTTCAAGAACAAGCTGTATGACCAGCATCTTGGCAAAAACAGAGCATTTAAGAAGCCAAAGCAAGGCTGAGGCCCACTTCTCCCCTGGTGCACTATGCTGGTACCGTGGACTACAATATCAACGGCTGGCTGGACAAGAACAAGGATCCACTGAATTAATCTGTTTTTCAGCTGTACCAGAAGTCCTCAGTGAAACTGCTGGTCCATCTCTATCCTCCTGTTATTGAGGGTATGATAGTAGATAGATTGATAGATTTTCAAGCTTATAGATAATGTATATTTTTACCTAACTATAGCATGTGTTCATGTAAATATTGAGTCTGGTTTTGAAAAAAACATGTCCACTTAAAACCATCCACAGAGACTGGTGGCGGTAAGAAGGGAGGCAAGAAGAAGGGTGGTTCTATGCAGACTGTGTCTTCCCAGTTTAGGGTAAGATTTAACATTTCAAACTTTGGTATAAAATCTTATCTATGTTTAATATCACAGTTGTGACATTTTATGACAAGAGAACTTGGGCAAGTTGATGACTTACTTGGATGGAGCACCCATCCTCACTCTGTGTGCTGTCTGATTCCCAATGAATCAAAGACTCCAGGTACATAGAGACCATGATTTCCATTTGAGTGTTTTGAGGGGTGGTTTTGTTTAGTTGGTATGGTTTACTTCAGGTTGTGTTGCTTCAACAAAGAGAGTAACTACTATATTCATTTAAAGAAGTAATTAAGAAATATTCTTTTACAGGTCTGATGAAGAACTTCCTGGTCATCCACCAGCTCAGGTGTAACGGTGTGCTGGAGGGTATCAGAATCTGCAGAAAACGTTTCCCCAGCAGAATCCTCTATGCTGACTTTAAGCAGAGGTATCAACGGATATTCTAACACAATTATGATGCAGACTATTCAAAGAAAATGTTCACACTGACCACTAACTCTCTTATAAAAGGTACAAGGTGCTGAATGCCAGTTTCATCCCTGAGGGCCAGTTCATTGATAACAAGAAGGCTTCAGAGAAGTTGCTTGGATCAATTGATGTTAATTATGACGAGTACAGATTTGGACACACCAAGGTAAGCACATTGATATACTTTAATGTACTTACCAAGGAGCACATATTTTTCAGTCATTTTTTTTCTTTATGGAATAGAAGAGTATCCTGAAAAACATAACCCATGGGGAATTAGGCCATGAAGGAGCCAATGCAACATTGCCATCATGTGGCCATGGATAAACATTACATATTGCCTTGTAACTTGTTACCAAGAGGCTTAAACCCCAGATCATTTATGCCCAAGATTCTGTGGTTCTTTCTCACCTATTTTAAATCAAGGGGGAAAATATTAAATAATAAATAATATATTTTACTCTTACTTCTACAAATTTAATCAGATTATCACCAAATATATTCAATATGTGAGTGAGTCTGCAAAAAAGTTATTAATTTATTTTTACCATTTGCTACAAGATTGTATTTATAGTAATTACCTAATTCTTATATGGGCTATTTACATAAATTGAAGTACTTTGTGGATACATCACAACTACGACCAAATTTAGAAGCACATACCAAGTGACCCTGTATAACTTGATTGCATTCTGTCAAAGGTGGTGCTGCAGAACTCATCATGTCTGACTCACTTGAAATTTGGCACAATTCACTTGTAAAAAGGCTAATGTGCAAAAAGACAGAACTGTCAGCCATTTAGCATAATTGCATTTCACTGTTTAAAGTATTTAGATATAGATCCTGATGCAGATAAAACAAATTATAAACATGTTTCTTTATCTCTGATGATACAAAAAGTATTTTTTAAATACAGTAAATATATTATATATTTTTCATTTTTAAATGATTGTGTAGGGTACATGCTCATTTTCTACCTTTCTAGTTTAATCTTTAGTATGCTGTAGAGTAAAGACATACAGTGAATTTCTATTTTCTGTTTATTTAGGTGTTCTTCAAAGCCGGCCCGCTGGCTACCCTTGAGGAGATGAGAGATGAAAAGCTGGCATCTCTGGTTACCATGACTCAATTTAATTCAATTCAATTTTATTTGTATAGCGCCAATTCATAACAGAAGTTATCTCAGGACACTTTTCAAATGGAGCAGGTCTAGAGCGAACTCCTTATAACATTTACAGAGACCCAACAGTACCACCAAACTGATGCTATCCATCGCACTGAGGAGCTTGAAGAAGCCAAGTAAGTACATTTTAAACAATTAAATGGAAATAAGTGTAAAACTATCGTGTAGCTCAACTGACAATGGTATTTCTGGTATCAATACTTGAATTTAAACAAATGTATACAGATATTACAATTTTATTTGTTTACAAATTTGTTTAGTTATTTTAGGGCAAACATTTTCGATTGCAGCTGTGCTTTTATATTTTTTTTCTAGTTCCTTAAACATTTCTATCTCATATATGCAATACATTTTTTTTTTAAGTATTTGTAACTTTAAGATTTTCACTCAGAGACAGATTCACACCTTTTTGAAACAGGAAAAAGCTGGCCCAGCGCCTTCAGGAGGCTGAGGTAGAGATTGAGGCAGTGAATTCAGCTCAGAAGGAGGCTCGTTCTCTCAGCACTGAGCTCTTCAAGATGAAGAACTCTTATGAGGAAGCTCTGGATCAGCTGGAGACCATGAAGCATGAAAAACAAGAACCTCAAATGTGAGTTCTGACCACATTATTATTACTTCATTAAGTTAGAATAATGTATTTATATTTTCCAATTCAAAGCTTAACGATATAACATAACATGTATCTCTCTGCAGAGGAGAAGTCCAAGAAGCAGGTGGAGACAGAGAAGTCTGAGATCCAGACAGCTCTTGAAGAGGCTGAGGTACATTTATTCCGCGGAGGTCTTCTGAAAATACACGGACAAATGTTTTATAAATGGTTAGAAAGCAAAGATGACTGTTGTTTTCTTTGACATCATTAGGGGACTTTGGAATATGAAGAGTCTAAGATCCTGCGTGTCTAGTTGGAGCTCACCCAGATTAAGAGTGAAGTAGACAAGAAGCTGGCAGAGAAGGATGAAGGGATGGAGCAGATCAAGAGGAACAGCCAGAGGGTGACTCCATGCAGAGCACTCTGGATTCTGAGGTCAGGAGCAGGAACGATGCCCTGAGAATCAAGAAGAAGATGGAGGGAGACCTAAATCAGATGGAGATTCAGTTGAGCCATGCCAATTGTCAGGCTTCTGAGTCCCAGAAGCAGCTGAGGAATGTGCAAGCACAGCTGAAGGTATTGTAAGACATAAAGTTGTTTCACAGACTATGGTCAGTGCACCTACATTTTGGCTGTCATGTGAATATTTTGCTGATATTTCTTCACCAGGATGCTCAACTGCACCTTGATGATGCTGTCAGAGCCCAGGATGACTTCAAGGAACAAGCTGCTATGGTAGAGCGCAGGAACGGTCTCATGGTGGCTGAAATTGAGGAACTTAGAGCTGCTCTGGAACAGACAGAGAGAAGCTGCAAAATCGCCGAGCAGGAGCTGGTGGACGCCAGTGAGCGTGTTGGACTTCTTGAGTCTAGGGTAAGACAATTCTGTTAAGATCTGCACGGTAGAGCAAATGTAAGAAAACATGCAAAACAAATATTATCTAAATATTATCTTCACTTTCTGGTTTTCTAAAGGTGCGTGAGCTGGAGGCAGAGGTTGAGGCTGAGCAGAGACGTGGAGCAGATGCTGTTAAGGGTGTCCGCAAATATGAGAGGAGGGTGAAGGAGCTCACATATCAGGTACAACTATATTAAGATTTTACATGTACTGTACAGATAAATCTGGCTTACTTTCCATGAAATATATTTAAACACAAATCTATATTTTCTTTTACAGACTGAGGAGGACAAGAAACATTTTACCAGGCTACAGGATCTGGTTAACAAACTGAAGCTCAAAGTGAAGGCCTACAAGAGGCAGGCTGAGGAAGCGGTAAGGACTCACATTTAATTTTAAACAATGGGCTACTGGATACACTGTCATATTTATGTTATGTACAGTACACCTAGTAGGCTATTTTCAACATTTTAACATTTTTCTGTATTTCAGGAGGAGCAAGCCAACGTTCACCTGTCCAAGTGCAGAAAGGTCCAGCATGAACTGGAGGAGGCTGAGGAGCATGCTGACATTGCAGATTCCCAGGTCAACAAACTGAGAGCAAAGAGTCGTGACTCTGGCAAGGTAAATATATATTCATTTTGTGATCAATAACTAAAACAGCATCATCATTGTCTGTTTGTTGGAGCAGATTCTTAACAGTATTATATTCACACCATTACACAGTATTAGGTTTAAATGCTATAAAATTAATTGATTAAAATTATTGTCACCTAAGGCTCATTAAAATCCAATTTACACAAACAATTTATATGTTTTTTACAGGGAAAAGAAGCAGCTGAGTAAAGCATGCTTAGTGTTTCACTGTGTTGAATCATATAATATGATATAATTCATGCCGAAAAAATAAAGATGAAATGGTTTCTCTTAAATTGCTGTCTGTTATACTTTCATGTCTTTGCTTTCCATGAAAGGTAGCTAATGTGAGATTTGAGAGACACGAACCAAATAGTTTTTACAATCATTCATTAATGCAGAATGCATAACTATTCACTGTGACACTCAAAATATTATTATCAAATTATATAAATCAAAAACGAGTCAAGATCATATACTGTACAATAATATAATTTATATAACTCGGTCAAACTACAGGGCCAATGTAGTGGGTCTAATTCTGCGTTGTGTTATTTAATAGGCAGAGACACACTCCTGAATGGTCTCAACACGATTTATTCCCCTTTATACCTGCATTATGGAGAAGAAACATTCACAGGTGTTCACAGGTTTTCTCATACATGCTCTCTGTGCTCTTTCTGGGAAAAGTCACCAAGCAAATCGGAGTATTATGCACAATAGTATGAACAATACGGAGAGCAGCAGAACTGCGTACTTTTCTGGGAAAAGTCACCAAGCAAAGAGAAAGTAAAAACCGACCCAACGTGGTAAGTGCAGGTTTAGCAAATAAAATACTGACTATACTTCAGGTAATAATCCAATATTTTCCCTGACATATGTGCTGGAAACATTGAAATGAACATTTCCAATAACACAAGTTCCTCATACTATAGTAACAACACTCAAAGGAAAAAAGAAAAACATGACAGCAAAAACGCTACCCTTCAAAATAAAAGTTTGCGCTTCACTGCCTTGTTCATAATATGGCGCAACAACATCACACCACTACACCAAGCATGTGGATGAACGTGACTTGATATTTTAGTATCACATGGTAAAGTAGAAATCACAGTCAGCTGTTCTGTAACAAGATACAGATGTGTGGTGTGGGTCATTATTGGGTGCACTTTAATTTCAAAGTAAATTAACATTTCTGACTGTAAATCATTCTTTATCACAGAGATTTTTCAGATTGTGACAACATGTCAATGACAAGTGAATGTAGATTTTTTTTTTTGTCACTGCAAGTTCAACACTATTGCCTGTGACATTTAAAAATGCTATTGCTCAACAACCAGAGTGGTTGACATTCAAAGTGCAGTGATGTGCATGAAGCCAAAAAATGAACTTCAAGCTGCAGAGTTAGATAAAGTGTTAATAGGTTGACATATGAGTGTGACTACCACAGAGATATCCCTTACACCTTATCATAAGTAGTTGTTGTATGTTTTTTTTTTATTATATTTATTATTTATTTATATATTAATTGTTGATCTATTAGTATTTTAAAGATTTATTTTTAATCAAAAAAATTAAATAATCTGTGAGAAGCATTAGAATACATGTGTATTTTTAATGTAAATGTATTCACCAATATCAATAAATAAACCGTTTGTCAAAAGACCTAAAATTAAGGTTTCCTTTTTAGGTAGGAATTAACACAAATTCAAGATGTGCCTTTGCTGATGGAAAACTGAAACATAAGATGTATTAGCTGCAAATGCCAACCTCATGTAACCATCAGCTGTCCTCCTAACCATATTCGGCTTCTGTCCCGCATTTAACTTCTACTTTGTCAGCAACACACATTTAATACAAGGATTCCAATTCCAGTCTGTGAGTGTTGTAAAAGATCTGTAAAGCTCATGTTTGTGATGATATTATCGACTTACTTTAATCAATAGGATGTATTGGACATTAGTAGTCCAAGTATGCAGTACTGTTACACAGCATAATGTGAGAATTACAAATCTTTAATTTAATTTTACATTTTCCTGTTGAGCAAAACTCAGTTACATTAACTAAGGATATAAGTGGTAACACACATAAGTAACCCCTCACTATGAGTAGAGTCAGTCAACAGGTGGTAGAAAGGATGGAAAGAGGGCCATCACTGATTTTGACTTTGCTCTCCATATGACCTATATTGTCTGGAGACAATGAAATAAAGCCTGGAAGTTACTGACTGGATGAGGTTAAGTAGTAAAAAGTAGCAAGAACACATCAAAGAATTTTGTGTGGATTTGTGAATTTGATAGTTGCAGAAAAGTCTCTCCGGGAACCATCACCTTACCGCGATGGAGAGGTTTGGGTGCTTCTATGAACCTGAGAGATGTGTTATCGGGAACAATATGCTCCTGGTAGGGTCTCCCAAGGCAAAGTGGTCTCAGGTGAGGGGCCAGACTAAGAATGGTTCACAAACCCCATGGAAGTACATAGAAGATGAAAAGAGTCTGGAGCAGGGCCTGGAAGGGGGGCCCGAAAGTGAGCGCCTGGTTGCCGGGCTTGCCATTGAGCCCAGCCGGGCATAGCCCGAGGGAGTGACGCAGCCTTGGACTTCTGTGTTAGTCATGGATTGTCCATAACAAACACCATGTTCGTACATAGGGATGCTCATAAGTGTACGTGGTACCAGAGCACCTTAGGCCAAAGGTCTATGATCTATTCTGTGATCGTATCATCAGACCTGAGGCTGCATGTATTGGACATTCGGGTAAAGCGAGAGGCGGAGCTGTCAACTGATCACCATCTGGTGGTGAGTTGTGTTAGGTGGCGGGGGAAGCCACTGGACAGACCTGGTAAACCCAAACGTGTAGTACGGGTGCACTGGGAGCGTCGCGAGGAGGCCCCTGTCCGAGAGACCTTCAACTCCCACCTCCGGCGGAGCTTCTCCTGCATTCCTGTCGAGGCGGGATGGTTGGTGTTCAAAGCTTCTATTGCTGAAGCTGCGGCTGTGAGCTGTGGTCTTAGGGTCTTTGGTGCCTCAAGGGGCAGTAACCCTCGAACACGGTGGTGGACACCAGTGGTCAGGGAAGCCGTCCGACTGAAGAAGGAGGCCTTCCGGGATATGTTATCCCGGGGGACTCCCGAGGCAGTTGCAGGGTAAAGACTGGCCCGAAGGACTGCAGGCGCAGCTGTGAGGGAAGCAAAACAGCAGGTGTGGAAGGAGTTCGGAGAAGGACTTTCAGACGGCACCCAGGCGCTACTGGAAAACCATCAGACACCTCAGGAGGGGGAAGCGGGGAACCATTCAAGCTGTGTACAGCGGGGATGGGACACTGCTGACCTCAACTGAGGAGGTAATTGGGCGGTGGAAGGAACACTTTGGGGAACTCCTGAACCCGACTAGACCAACAAACCCACCCTCTGTGATAGAGGCAGGGCTTGAGTGTGATAGGGGATCTGCATCAATTTCCCTGCGGGAAGTCACTGAGATAGTCAAACAACTCCACAGTGGCAAAGCCCCAGGGATTGATGAGATTCGCCCAGAAATGCTGAAGGCTCTGGGTGTTAAGGGGCTGTCTTGGTTGATATGCTTTTTCAACATTGCATGGAAGTCAGGGACAGCGCCGAAGGAGTGGCGGACTGGGGTGGTGGTTCCCCTATTTAAAAAGGGGGACCAGAGGGTGTGTGCAAACTACAGAGGCATCACACTACTCAGCCTCCCTGGGAAAGTTTACTCTAAGGTGCTGGAAAGGAGGGTCTGGTTTATTGTCAAACCTCTGATTGAAGAGGAACAGTGCGGGTACCGTCCTGGTCGTGGAACAAGAGACCAACTCTTCACTCGTGCAGGTGTCCTGGAAGGGGCCTGGGTATATGCCCATCCGGTCTACATGTGCTTTGTGGATTTGGACAAGGAATACGACTGGGTTCCCCAGGATATCCTGTGGGAAGTGCTGCGGGAGTATGGGGTGAGGGGGCCACTTCTCAGGGCCATTCAATCTCTGTGTTTCCAAAGCGAGAGTTGTGTCAGGATTCTTGGTCGTAAGTCGGACTTGTTTCCAGTGGGTGTTGGCCTCAGCAGGAACGATGCCCTGAGAATCAAGAAGAAGATGGAGGGAGACCTAAATGAAATGGAGATTCAGTTGAGCCATGCCTATCAACAGGCTTCTGAGTCCCAGAAGCATCTGAGGAATGTGCAACATTTTGGCTGTTTTGTGAATATTTTGCTGATATTACTTTACCAGGATGCACAACTACACCTTTATGATGCTGTCAGAGCCCAGGATGACTTCAAGGAACAAGCTAGTATGGTAGACAGCAGGAACGGTCTCATGGTGGCTGAAATTGAGGAACTTAAGAGCTGCTCTGGAACAGACAGAGAGAAGCTGCAAAATCACTGAGCAGGACCTGGTGGACGCCAGTGAGTGTGTTGGACTGCTGCACTCTCAGGTAAACAAGAACTGTAATTTCTTCAGTCATTCAAAAATCTTTTCATGAGTTAACCTGGGAAATGAAGCATGCTAGCTCCAGAAACTTGAGTCTAGGGTAAGACAATTCTGTTAAGAGCTGCACGGTAGAGCAATGTAAGAAAACATGCAAAACAAATATTATCTAAATATTATCTTCACTTTCTGGTTTTCTAAAGGTGCGTGAGCTGGAGGCAGAGGTTGAGGCTGAGCAGAGACGTGGAGCAGATGTTATTAAGGGTGTCCGCAAATATGAGAGGAGGGTGAAGGTGCTCACCTATCAGGTACAACTAAATTAAGGTTTTACATGTACTGTACAGATCAATCTGGCTTACTTTCCATGAAATATATTTAAACACAAATCTATATTTTCTTTTACAGACTGAGGAGGACAAGAAACATTTTACCAGGCTGCAGGATGTGGTTAACAAACTGCAGCTCAAAGTGAAGGCCTACAAGAGGCAGGCTGAGGAAGGGGTAAGGACTCACATTTAATTTTAAACAATGGGCTACTTGATACACTGTCATATTTATTTTAAGTACAGTACACCTAGAAGACTATTTTCAACATTTCAACATTTTTCTGTATTTCAGGAGGAGCAAGCCAACATTCACCTTTCCAAGTGCAGAAAGGTCCAGCATGAACTGGAGGAGGCTGAGGAGCATGCTGACATTGCAGATTCCCAGGTCAATAAACTGAGAGCAAAGAGTCGTTACTCTGGCAAGGTAAATATATATTCATTTTGTGATCAATAACTAAAACAGCATCATCATTCTTTGATTTATGTCTGTTTGTTGGAACAGATTCTTAACTGTATAATATTCATACCATTACACAGTATTAGGTTTAATTGCTATAAAATTAATTGATTAAAATCAGTCACCTAAAGCTAATTAAAATCAAATTTACACAAACAATTCATCTGTTTTTTACAGGGAAAAGGAGCTGCTGAGTAAAGCATGCTTAGTGTTTCACTGTGTTGAATCATATAATATGATATAATTCATGCTGAAAAAATAAAGATTAAATGGTTTCTCTTAAATTGCTGTCTGTTATACTTTCATGTCTTTGCTTCCCATGAAAGTTAGCTAATGTGAGGTTTGAGAGACACTAACCAAATAGTTTTTA